GAAACCCGGTCAGCTCAAGTCTCGTGGCGCTGGGTGACCGTTGCCTCTGCCGCGGCCAGGGCCGAGCAGCCGAAGCACTCCGGCCAGGCTCAAGCCTCACGGCTGCGGTGATCACAGCAGTGGGGGGCCCCCAGGAGGCTTCAGATTGGTAAGTGCCACTTTTTTCTTTTTTAAAACTGTTCTGGGTGGCTTTTGCAGGGTGGGTTCGGGCTGGGGGGGTTATGTTTCTGTGCTGTGTTGTTTTGTTTTTTGGTTATTTTTTTTGCAGTCCCAGCATGGGACTTGCTCCAATGTTTATTTTTGGTTATTTTTTGTTTTGCAGTCCCAGCATGGGACTTGCAGTGTTTTATTTTTAATTTTTTTTGGTATTTTTTTTTCTTCCCTCGGAACGCATTAATCGGTTTTGAATTCATTCCTATGGGAAATGGTGCCTCAACCTACGAACTTTTCGACTTGCAAACACCATGCCAATACGGATTAAGTTTGTAAGTCGAAGTACCACTGTACTGTCTAAATTAGCTTAGATTTATATTAGCCAATGATGAAGGTGAAAAGGATGAGGTTTTTATCTCTACTTGTTATATGCATTTGGACATTTTTAGTCATTATGTGGCCAATGATGAAGGTGAAAAGGATGAGGTTGTTATCTCTACTTGTTACTGTATATGCATGTGAATGCACACAAATGGGTTTTACTGCGCCTGCGTAGGACTTCCTGGAATATTCTAGAGCTTTAGTGGGTTTTACTGCGCCTGCGTAGGACTTCCCGGAATATTCTATAGCTTTAGAAGACGTGATTAGTAGGACGTTGTCCTGTGGTGCGCATGCTCCGCCTGCCCATATAACCTCCATTCCTTTTAGCCGCCACGCCTGTGGTGCGCATGCTCCGCCCGCCCATATAACCTCCATTCCTTTTAGCTGCCACTGAAATCGGACTTCTTGTGACTTAGAGCTTGTGATTGTGATTCTGTTCTGTTCTATTAACAGTATACTGATCTTTGGACTGTTTATGATTTATGCTTCTGGATTACGAACTCATAAACTGGTTGCTACCTTTTAAGAAATGTTATTTCACCTTCTCCTTGCTTCTCACCAACTCTGCTATGCTGCTATCACTATAACCTGCTGTATTTATCATTTAGACTTAAAACTAGATGGTTTACCAAAATTCCTTGTTTACTGCCTTGTTTTGCTTCTCACTGCAGTCTTTCGTTTCTTTTATGGTCTTATGCTGCCATCTAGCAACATAATGGCATTATTGCAGTCAGGTTTATTTTTCTTTTTCGACAGGGATACTGCAGTCTTTTTACAGCTAAATTACCGAAGTATAAAGTATTGTACTCAATAGCTTGTCATGCGTTTCTTCCGTGGTGCCCTGGAACTTTGCAGCTTGCCAAAGTCTCCAGATCTTGCGTGCCTACTTCAAACATAGATGCTTTTATAGTGAAAATCATCCTGGCTTCATAATATTAATTAAAATGTAAATTTATTAGTCTGGAAGTTGAAAGAACTTAGGCCAAAGATGGGTTACTGGTGGTGTAATTGGAGTAAATGTTCCAAAACCTTCCATTGCTCCCACCCCGCCCCCCAATATTTCTGCCACATGGCAGTGAATGTATTGGTTTTGTTGTGATTTCACCATTAATGCTGCCATTGTACGGTATGTACTGTTACTTAAATAACGGAGGAAAACTCAGTAGAATCAGGCTGTTAGTCTCACTGAAATTGCAAGACTTCAAATATGTTCACATAAATAGGATTTTTCTGAGCACAAACTACAGTATTAGAGTTTGTATTTTGATGTTATTTATTTTTAATCACTTTTTCACATATGTGCACAAAGGGGGCACTGCTTTTGGAACTGCTCTAGGACTTTAGCCAATGTCATTAAATCTTACAGCACCTACAGGTTTGCTTTTGTTTGCTCCTCACTTGTCTCCCCCGACCCTAAGATTCTTTTGGGATACAGCACTTAGTAAATTATTTACACATCTTCTTTATAATCTCTTCCTTTGTGCTCTGATAGGACCGTTGAATAGCTGAACTTTTGTAGCATTCTTCTAGGACTTATGAAAGTCTGTTGTTGCTCTGTTGTGAAATACGATAAATCTCACATTTGACATTTTCAGTCTGTTGCAAGTGGGTGGGTGGGTGGGTGGGTAGAATGCATGAATCTGAAATCTGCAAAGCTACACTCCAGAAATATTTTTGAGGTCAAAAGGAGCCAAAGAGCAAGAACACATCCCTGTAAAGACAGAGATTATTTGTTTTTGTTTTGTTTTTGTGGGAGTTTTCATTTCTCTCTTTTTATGATCATTAGCATTCCTTCAGTCCTTGCATAAGTACTCCTTCAGTGCACTCTGTCTAACAAATTAGATCTGTCACGAAACACTGTCTCTCATTCTCTATATTTGCACATGCTTTTCTGATGGTATGCAGACTTCTTGCAGAAAACTTTAATTTTGAATTCCAAATAGCATGACTGGAGGAAATCAATTTCATACTGTGCTCTGAGGGAATTCTTCTCCATAACTGTCCCTGCTGCAATAACATAAATGCCCTTGTGTGATACAGCTACACCATGGGAACGGTAGAGAATGACCACTGGTTTGGCAGAAGACATGTGACTGATTCTCAAATGCATATACTTTTCATAAATCTGCCTTATTGCCACTGTGTTGGTGTGAAGGAGGAATAGGTCAGAAGGAAAGTGTTGAGAGTGTGCTGTCTACCCAAGTTAAAGAATCATTAAAAGAAGGAATGAGAGAGAAAACAGAGGAAGTGATGATAAAAGGAGAAGAAGGGAAAGGGGTAAAAGTAGAGGTTTGTTTGATAGAAGAAGGAAAGGGAAAGGAAGGAGTTAACCTTACCCATATGGGAGGAAGATAAAAGGGAGGAAGAAGGGGGGAGAGAGTTTAGGGTACCGCGGGAAGATATGAAGGCAAGAGGAGAGGTTGAAAATAAGAAAGTGTGCAATTTATTAGAGGATTTTCCCAACCTGAAGGTGGGAGGACTATTGCCAGATCCTGATCCAAACAAGAAGAAGGCAACAGTCACTGAGACTTTGGAATGGTCAGTGGTAGTTTTCCCGACAGGGCAAGGTCACTGGAGGAGGGTGATCTGGCTGGACACCTCCTTCAATCAACCGCCAATCGAGGAGTATTGGGCACGCTATCCATGTTGTGGCACGATCTGCGCTGTGAGGAGCGCTCCGTTGAGAAAACCAATAGACAGAGAACGCTTTGGACCAGCACCGCAGTGAATCCAGGCAGTTCTACATTCGGACTGTTACCTACTTTGTATGGACAGTTACCAGATTTAAGTCGTTTTGATCCAGTTGAAGTGATTGTTGAATCTCCTGATGTTAAAGTTAATAAACCTGTTAATGTTTCAAATGCCTCTTCATGGTTATTTCCCGCCAAAAGAGAGGAACTGCCACCCCTTTCAACCAAATTCAATCACAGTTAGTTACTTCGTTCTAAGGATTAACTCTTTAACCATTCTAAAGAACTTCTTTTAAATTTGTCTGTTTGTTTCTATCCCACCTTTCTCCTTTAAAAGTTAAACAATCTGTTTAACATTCCGTCTATTTTTTAATGCACTGATACCTAAACACTTTTGTTGTGACCTTCCATACTTTATAATGAAGTTTGACAGTGAACTTGACTTGTAAAAGAGTAGTCTCTGCAGTGTATAGAAAATTATTGCAATAAGCAAGAATTCAAGCCTGTGTCCAAAAAAATGCTAGCAGGGTGAAAGTCCGCCCACCAACACAGAGGAAAACTGAGCTTATCTAAGACAAGGGGTTAATGAGCATATGTGAGGTCACTGAATACATATCTTCATACATTGAATGTATAGCTGATACCTCCAGTGTGGCAGAACATAAATTCATAAACATGTGCTCCTAACTGATTGTGCTGATTAATGTGATTTGGAGGTTTTAGTGGCTACTCTTTGTAGCTATGATAATGGCCATGATTTTACTCTTATTCTCTTTTGCTCCCCAGTAATATGTCTGATGCTCTTGCGAATGCTGTGTGTGAGCGCTGTCGAGCTCGTTTTGATCCTACGGAGCGAATTGTGAACAGCAATGGAGAACTGTATCATGAAAACTGCTTTGTCTGTGCACAGTGCTTCCGCCAGTTTCCAGATGGACTCTTCTATGATGTAAGATCACCATACGTACATCTTAAATTATGGAATATTGTGTGGCCCCAAACATAATTCTATAAATTTTGATTGAATTGTTTTCTTTGCAGCTTCTTATTGTCTTTGCCTTTCTTAATGTAATTGTCCTTATATCATTCTCTTCCCTACATCATTTAGCTTTGATATGATCCAACATTCATTAAGCCTCAGGTTTCTAGTCAAGTGGTGAGAGAGTTTACCAACACCCCGGGCTCAAACATAATGCTAAACTCATTCCTGTTCAGCCTCTAATACAGCTGTGACAAGAAGGGATACTTTTGATTCTGTTTCTAATTAACTGAAATGTAGCAGTACATTTAAATAATAAACTGTACTTAATGTAACTGTAGTTTATTGAAATCAGCCAATTTCATAAATCATGCATTGAAGTTGGTTTGTTCCAATAAACTATATTTAAGAGTAACAATTCTGTGAGTATAAAACTAGCTTTCATAATATCTCTAAAGTGTAGTTAGTTAAAAGCGAAAGCTTCTAGGCTCTTTGCAGACTGCACCCATACCAGAAAAACAAAGATCTTTCAAGTACAGCTAGGCCATATTATTATATCCAAACAAAGTCAATGTAAGTCATAAAAATGGCTTTGTGGTTGCAAAAAGCCACAGCTTCCCTTTTACAGTTTCTCATATGTTACTAATTGTATAGAAATGTGGGGCAGAAAGATACCCAGATGATTATCTAGTCTAGGCCCTGTGCAATAAAAATCCCTTACCACTCAGCAGGTTAGCCAGTATAATCGGAGGATGTCCAAGAAAAAAAAAAGAGAGAGAGAGAGAGAGAAAGAGAGAGAGAGAGAGAGAGTATAATAAAACTCACATTGTTGTATTTCTACCAAAAGAGATCATGTCATGCTGTCTTAATGATGTACACCATTATCTTCCCTTGACATCTTGTCTTCAAAAGGAAGCTGCCTAGTTATAGTAACATGTATAGTATAAAATTAAACTTCAAGCTATCAGTGAAATAAAACTAGCAGAAGATGAAGCAGTGCTGCAAGAGAACCAATCTTTTGTTATAAAATTTACCCTATTATGCAGTGGTTTCCATTGTTTCATATTTCACAGTGTATGTTATCTTACATCTCTCACAGTTTGAAGGAAGAAAATATTGTGAGCACGATTTCCAGATGCTGTTTGCACCTTGCTGTGGAGAATGTGGTAAGATGTTCAAATACCTATACTCACACCTTATCTGGGTTTTCTTCTGTTTTTGTGAGGCAGGGCTGTATTTTAGCCCCGTTTTTATTTAATCTTTTTTTAGCAGATTTACGCCCTCAGTTGTCACCAGCTGAAAAATCTGCCCCGTTTTTAAATAAGGCGTCAGTACCCCTTCTATTATACGCGGATGATGCCGTCCTTCTTTCTATATCCAGCTCGGGCTTAAGACAACTTCTCTTCTTGTTTCATTCATATTGTTCTCGCAGCGATCTCGTTATCAATGTAGAGAAAACCAAAATTATGGTATTCTCAAAATCTTGGAAGCCTCTTCAGTGGAAAATC